AATCATATGTGAATTATATGTGAATCGCTAAAAGGAAACAAATTAAAATAAATCTTATGGCTACACAAAATAAATAATTAAGATTATTCACGTGTGAATCACAAGTGACACGTGTGAATCACAAGTGATTCATGTGTGAATAACAATTGCAGTGCAATCATGCATTAATCTCAAAGGTTTTAAACCTACAATATGTGTAGCATCAAGATAAGCTCGCCTTTGTAAGTCTGTGAAATATGATGGAATCCCAATCACACAGATTGAAACAGGGGTTTCAAGGTTTTTCTCTGCCATTTGCTTGAAATTTGCAAACAACATTCCTAAAATCTGCACAGGTCTATAAGTGTGTTTCTCATTCAAGTATTGTAAGTGAACCAAAACACCACCATCAAAATCTTCACTCATTTCTCTCAGTAGCAACACAAGATCATTATGACTTCATTGCAGCTGGAGACTATCTTGAATGGAAGCTTTTTATTTAGACCATTGACCCCTAATACTAGTCAAGAACTTATCATAAACCCTAATACTAGAAAAGTAACTTGTTCTCCGGTCAAATTCATCAATCTCCCAAGTTGATCTCTATATGGAAATATGGAATTGACAACAAAATTATCGTCAGATCCTTTTGATATTTAGTAGAAATCGACCTAGGTAAACGACTTCAAGAAAGGTTTTCAAATTAATCCCAATTCAAAAGGTAACCTAATGCACATTTTCAATTTTACAACTTTTTTCCAGGAAAACCTTAGCACTAACTACTCCAACAAAATTGAATAATCACACGAATGATCGATGACCAAAAACATTATAATTGCCGGCAGATGCGATCCAGATAAAGGAATAAAGGACTGAACTACAAGGAAGAAGAAAACTGGATACCTGATCACCGTTGTTGCCAACAAGATAATATGTTTCAGTGGTGGTAAGGGAAGAAGGTAAGAGAGAGTGACCATGGGTTTCTCAGTTACTATCGCCGATCGAAGCACCTATATCCTCAAATGTCCAACTTTAGGACTTTTTGCATGGATCGAAGCACCTCCTCTTCTTTACCATCCAATTCCACCATAACTGCAACCAAATCAGTGGTGATTAAGGTCGATCGTCAATCATTAATGTGTACGTCGGCTTTGATGCTTATTGTAGCGGTAGATTTGGCGGAAATTGGCCGTAGAGTGATTGTGTAGGGAGAGATTCAACGGAAGGAGGTAGACAATGGACTGAGAGAGAGAGAGAGCTTCGACTTTCACCTTCCTCGATTCAATGAATAAGAGAGATAGTAGACCGAGGAGACCATTAATAAATCGGACATTGATTCTGGATCGGGAAACGAACGCCGATGAAGCTATGAGATAAATAGGGACGAAGAGATGATCGGGGGATTTGTGAGAGAAAGAAGTCATCGATTGATTGGGGGGAATGATTTTCAGTACCATAAATGCCCTTAGATTAATTTAAGTATCATACCCCCATGTTTAATTCTTTTCAAATATTTACAACAATGTCACAAAACATCTCAACCTTCTATTATTTTAATCTAACGGCTCTCGTTTGGTTCTCGGGAAAATATGAGTTCTCAAATGATTCTCTCTCTCTCTCTCTCTCTCTCTATATATATATATATATATATATATATATATATATATATATGTGTGTGTGTGTGTGTGTGTGTGTGTGTGTGTGTGACATCCCCAAAATCACGGCCAGAAAAGAACGGTTTGTTTATGCTTTGTTTAAAAATCAGAGTAACATTTTAAATAAAAGTATTGCGGAATTTGTCCCAAAACAAAATATGATAAAGATTTATCAAAAGCATTTCCATAGAAATGTATTTCATTAAAAGACTCGGGATTTCATGTTCGTACAGATCAAAAGCATAAACAGTACAATATAAGCCTTACTACATTATTTCATATCTACAGGCCTATATCCGTAATCCCTCGTCCAAACATCATATCTATGCTCAAGCTCCACTACCTGTAATACATAAAACTGAGTGGGTCAGGCTTGGGAGCATGGTGAGCACATAGGGTTTTCAACCCACAATAAATAAGTTTATTAACTTCATTAAATTAAACAAACCCAATTACCCGTTCCCGTTATCCTCACATTACGTCCCTAAGCATCTATCATAAGGGACTTATCCTAAAGATTATCATCGGGATGGACACTACTGCTAAGGGGATTCCTCAGCAACAAATGTCCTTAAGGCAACCATGTGGGAGATGGAGTACATCTGGTGAGCACACAGTTCAAATAAACACACAGTTCGAATAAACACCTACAGGTTGCGAGCCTGCTAGTGTTCCACTAGACTGTCTAGAATAGTCCGTGGTCGTCATCTATACTCCGCTAGATGACTGGATCATCAATAACATCTATAACGAGCCCTCTCATTATTTTATTTTGTCACACAACAACTATTACATCTACCCATGTTTTACCCAACACATTTTGTAGATATAAAATACATATACAGTTTAAATCATTGAAAACATGTATAAAACGTTCATCCAGCATAGATAGCAAGTATTCAGATAATATGCACACATAGCACATAATTTATATAAAATACTTCATATCTATGTGTAAGCTGAAAGTACTATGCACTCACTTGAAAGGTGGTGACTCAGCACTCGGACAGCGCTTCGATACTCTCACAACGATTTTCCTTTGATAAAACCTAGTATTGATACCACTAGGGTTTAGTCTAATGATAACCGCGACAAATTAATTGTCTGACTATTATTATTATTATATAAGTGTTAATAACACTCAATATAACTCATAATAATAGCCCAAATAATTATTTTAAGGACCTAATAACATTCCTATAATTATTTGAAAGCTATATTAAAAGTTGCGTAAGCGTAGCACACTTACAGCGAATTTTATCGAAAACCGGAACTTAATTGGAGCAGCGTTTCGAAACCGAAAAACTCCTTTTTCTCAGGACTCCGGGAGCCTCGGGGCTTCCCTAGGGTGCTAGGGGTTTAACTAGGGCTTAGGGGGGTTTATAGCACTTAGAGAGAGAAAGTTTGCAGAGAGAGAAGTGAAAAATGGTGTGAGAAATGAAGAACCCTCGACCCCCTTTTATAGCCTGCGGGGCCTCGGTACGTTTGGCATACCTCGGACCTACGTTGGGCGTAATGGTTCGGATAAGGTCAGCAGGTGGCATTCTCCGAAGGGCGCGGCGTGGCTCAAGCTGGACCACAAGAGGCTGAAGTACGCGAGGCGTTCCGTCCTCGCACGCGGCGCGTAAGGAGAACGTTGGGCGTCCGATGCGAACGTTGGGCTTCCGAGAAGCGACGTGTCAGCCATCCGAAGCAAGCCGTGATCAGCAAGCGACGGTCAAGATCTTGCCACGTCATCGTTCTAGCATCAGATTTCGCAATTTCACTTTCCAACTTTAAAAATTCGTAACTTTCGCGTATGACCTCCGTTTTCGACGTTCTTTATATCCACACGAAGGTGGGAACGTACTCTACAACTTTCGTTTAGACTATGTCAGCTAATTTTGACTCGATTTTAAATTTTATATTGTTAACGGGCCGGGACAGAATTGGTCCGTTAAATCCCCATAACTTCTTCATCCGACATCCGTTTTCGCCCATCTTTTTCTCGTTACGCTACTTTTAACGAGACCTTCGATTCTCGTTTAGGTCGTGTCGGCTAAAAACCACTCGATCTAATGTTCGAATTTCGGGGTGTACACTGCTAACTCGAAACTTCGAAAAATCATCACTTCTTCATACGAAGTCAGATTTGGGCGTTTTTTTTATCGATGTTCTTAGTTTAACATATTCTACGACTTTCGTTTAGATCGCTAAGGCTAAATATCCCTCTATCGTAAATTCACTATTCACGCTTTCCGGTATTGTGTCGGTTTTGTCGCGAAACTTCAACGGGTCATAACTTATTCGTTATAACTCGGATTTCGGTGTTCTTTATATCCTCGGAATCCTTGTTTCGATCAATACAACTTTATGTAGAGATATCGGGCTTATCCCACAGTTTAATTTTGACGCTTATTTTTATTCTTTGTTAATTATACATTTATAATTAAATAATAAACACATAAACACACATAACTCACATAATACTCAAATATTTCATCTTTATTACTTCAAAAAGAGTTACAAGAGTTGACCTAGGCTATTACATTGACAGAAATGTTTAGCCCTGAAACCCGGACGTTATATATATATATATATATATATATATATATATATATATATATATATATATATATATATATATATATATATATATATATATATATATTTCATAAATTTATGGTGTGGTAGTGCCGTATTGTAGATGATGTGACAAACACTTTTGGAATATGAATGTTGTACTCATACTTAGTAACTTTATGGCTACATGTTGGAATATTTTTTTACAATGTTTCATCGTTGTGAGATTTTATAACAAGAAAATTCGTATATTTTGGCAATCTATTTTACAGCAGTATTAAATAATTTTTTAATCCGGTTTATGTATTATTAATGTTTTACTAATATAAAAGGTTGGAAGTATAACCATACTCCATAGTCCATACTCGCCACTTTTAGGTAATTTTTATTATCTTTTAAAATAATACGGTTTCTATACGTAATTCTAAAAATATACTACGCTTAGGTTTTGAGTAATTTCTTTATTTTGATTTTGATGATTATCTTATGAAAAAGGAGTTTGAAAATACATTCCACATTGTTTGTGTTTTACACTTGACAAAGGTGGATCATGTTTAATAGCATCCATTTGAATATTTGGTAGCATTTTAATATAATTTATTAAATTTAAGTTGTAACGTGTTCTCATCAAAAAGTGCTTCCGATACTTATATTGTTTCGATAAATACAAAAAGTGTTTGACATATCATATATGTCCTCTGAAACAAGAATATTAATAATAAATATATAATAAATATTATTTAATTATAAATAATCTGAGAATTAATAATAAAGGGAGATATTTTATGACTTCAAAGTAAATAAAACAAGTTACATAATAAAATTTAAACCAATTTAAAACATAACAATAACTAAAAAATCATATTAGGCTAATTAGTCCTCTCATATATATATATATATATATATATATATATATATATATATATATATATATATATATATATATATATATATATATATTATATATATATATATATATATATAGGGTAAAGTGAATATACCTAACAACCTTATATAAGCTTAGGTACCTAACCACATCATACTACGTAATTTTGTATCATATTTGCATTGTAATCACCAAAAATTCTTAAAATTCAACCTCATAACTTGATTGCTTCCAAAATCTTTGGACTTTCACCATTATCTTCCTTCAAATGACGTCTTTCTATCGGAGACCATTGGTGGGCTTCATATACTACTATTACAAAT